TAGTTGGATCATAGGAATATAAATGATATATCGATGTAGATAGATGAATCTACACCCCTAATATATTATATATTACCATAATGTTTGTGTGTATATATATATATATATACACACATTATGGTAATATATTACATAATATGAATAAATCATTATATTATTATTATTTTATTATTATACATTATCATTAAACTGCAACTGCCCACAACATTATAAATCGCCTATATTTCTCTCTCCATATATATATATACATACATGAAGAGTTACTTAATTAATTAATAATAATAAAAATAATAATAAGAGCAACAACAACCAACAATAACAGTGTTATTACCATTACTACTAATAATAAATATGTTTGTATGTATAATACAATAAAGTAACATTATTAACGAGAGAAACCATAAAAAAAGAAGGAAAAAAGACAAAAACAAACAATGGTGATAATAACAATTACCATTTTAATAACAATAATACTTAGCTGTAGTAACAGCAATAAGGTAATATTAATAGAGTGACAATAATTATCCTATAACTGAAAATCATAGTAATAATTGGTAATATTAAAATGATTATAATTGTCCCCAAGAGGTAATTTGTTCCCACAGAGTGCATTAACACAGTGTGTGAGTGTGTGGTCATTGCTGTTACAACATTTTTATAATATCAGTTATGTCTGTTTAAAATTTTCCAACAGATTCAGAGGAGTCAGAGGTGAGGATTGTGCTCTTGGGAAAGACCGGAGTTGGGAAGAGTGCGTCAGGAAACACCATCCTTGGGAGGGATGAGTTCAGGTCTAAACGGTCTGCTGAATCTGTGACAGGAAAGTGTGAGAGTAAGACCAGAGAGATTGATGGAAAGACACTGGTTGTTGTTGATACTCCAGGTCTGTTTCACACAAACAAAAAACAGAAAGATCTGCAGAAAGAGATGCAACAATGCATCTTATCATTAACCCCCGGTCCTCATGTGTTCCTATTGGTGCTACAGACACATGACTTCTTACTAGATGATGAAAAAGTTTGAGACAAAGTTTGACAATTTGAGCAACTCTTCCAAGATGCAGCAAAGCATACTATTGTCCTGTTCACTGATTGTGGTAGTGATGGTAATGTTCAGGACTTCATTGAAGACAACAACCTTCTTAAAAAGTTCATCAATAAGTCCTGTAAGTAATACCATGCCTTCAACAACAAAAGCGAGGATAAGGAGTCTCAAGGTGCCGGCCTACTGGAGAACAAGGTCGACAACAAGGTCAATGAAAATGGAGGCTGCTACAGCAATGAAATGTTTGAAAAAGCTTTGTCTGCCTTAGCAGAAGTAATGAAAGAACCAGAGGTAAAAAAGATCAAAAGTAATCTGTATTGGAATATTTGGAGACCAAAATCGCTGAGGGTCTAAATAAAATAGAAAAACAAGTTCCAGGTGTGAAACCTTTCCTTGATATTATCATAAACAAGGTGACTGAACTCATGCCACGTGAAGGTATCTCATCTGATTAGTCAAGAGCTCATCAAAGTCCTTAAAAACATAGGACACAGGGAAAATCACAGTGGTGAAAGGGTGTAAATGTATTTTATCTTTTTTTACGAAAGAATCTTAAACAGTACAATATTTTTTAAATGCAAAACGTGTAAATGCTTTATTCATGTTCTGTGGACAGTTGATGCATGGAGCATTATTCAACATTACTGTTTGAGTGAATAATGTGACAAAAGATGCTAGGATTGATCACCTGTAAAAAAACACAAGATATTCTTTGATAGCCCTAAAATTATATGGTTTATAGATAATTTTATCTCTTTGTTATATAAACAATTATCCTATCAACTTCTTCATGTATTTGCTTTTATTCAGTATATGTGGTGTTGGCAATTAAATTCCCTGTGCATCCCTGGTATTTTATGTTGAATCATATAAATACATTAAAGTTTGTCTAATCGATCGGTATGATTCCCATTATTGTGCAACGCATTTACACTTCATGACATCAAATTATATTTAAGTTCACTGAACTGTATTTATCAACAGGTAACAACTACCGTTATTTATTTTGAGCTGTAATGTCACAATTTAATGATCAGCAGTAAAACTGAGCAACAACCAGACTGCATCAACACAAACACAAAATGAGTCACTGACTTCAAACTTGAGCTTTGTTCCTGTATTATCTTCTTCTGGCAAAGTCGAGACGAATAGACCTGGGGCCTCATGTACTAAGACTTGCGTGGATTTCCTACTAGAATGTGGCGTACACTGA